AACATGACTGTGTGTTTTGAGTGTGTGTGTTCTCTCCTCTCCTCTCCGCTCCCTTTGGCTGGTGTTGTATAAAACCTGATTCCACTGTGTAAAAAGTAAAAACAGACCCCTGTTTAATCCTGGACAAAAAAGCTTTGTGTCTGTGTGTGTGTGTGTTTTGTGAGTGTATCTGCATGTATGGGTACACTTGTATGAAATCTGTGCTCAGGCCTGAGTGATTTGTAATATACATTGCTCTGAAAATTACACTTCTTAAATACACAAGCCAGCATGTAGCCCGTTCTCATATAAGGACATGTGTGCACATGTGTGTTGACTTTAGTAGTAACAAAGGTAAAAAGTCAGTGAATGAGGGGTGTGTGTTTTCTTAGGGCGATAGCTGAGTCTTGGTCAACTAAACCAATACACACCAACCACTCAAGCCTTGCTTCATTCACCTGTAGGCTTTGCAACATAAATCCCCTATAATTAGTCAGAAAGCCCACCTGAAGAAAGGAAACAATAGGGATTATGTGCACATGTAAGTGTTTAAACAAATGTAGAACACTTATAGGGTTAATGTTTTAATGTGTGAGACCTAAACACCACACACCAACTAGATTCTGTATATACAACAAGAAAAAAAAAAACTATCTAGCAGCAGGAAGTACTGTAGATAGAAGGATAAGATTTACCATGGCCAGAGGGCAAAGCAGTGAATCTGTCACTAAAACAGCCAGAGAACATGGCTAATCTATATTCTGTCAGGGTATCTGTAAATGCAACATTTAAACAACTAAACTCTTTAAATTTCATTTGGAATTCAGTTTGAGATCAAGTTCAAAATAAAGTGACAATTACTGATTAGGGGTAACCAAAGAAAATACAGACTTTAGGTTAAGGAAGAGTTCAGCCCAAGTAGTACTACAAACCCTAAATTCTGTCACTGAAATATGATTACTGTAATTATTTCCACTTCAGATACACTGTTTTAAGAAATCTTATGTATAACAATCCAAACAACTGTGGTACTGACCAGGAACCTGTGTGCCTCAATCTAAGACTTTTAATATCCATGAAAACATCAGAGAATATGAACAGGTCTGGCCATGTCACTGGTGACACAGTCCAGGACATGGCTATTCCTTAACAACTAGAGGGGCTGTTAGTGGTGTGTGTGTGCACCAGTGCAAGAAGAACAGACATCTTCTCCACTCATTTCAGGTTGCCATTAACTAATGATCTGACTCATAGAAAAACACATCCATGCAATGAACAACACAAAAATCACAATATTTGTTTGCAGTATTGTGTGTTTGTCTCTGGATGATGGGCTTTGGGAGAAAAAAGGATTTTTCAAATTATGATTCATTATCTTGGACAAAAAAAGGTTCCTTCCTAGTTAGTGCCACACTGCAATATAACTTAAGCAGCAGTTTATTTTGGGACTGATGTCAATCATTTTAAGTGATAGATATCTGACTGTGGAACTACATTTCTGACAATTATGCAGGAACATGCAAGTCTACTGAAGCAGTTCCGAAAATCTAATTTGAAGTGACTAAACCTATTTGACCAAGTTCAGACAGATGTCATTTGGTAAAACTAAAGAGGGTGGCATTATAGTGCATGCATTGTCACTGAATAAGTAATACTGACCATGTTCTGAAGTGCGTGTGTGTGTAAGAAAAACTGTCTGATGTACAGAGACGGAGAGAGAGAGCATGCCAGTATGGGCTTGCCTATTAGGCATATGGCCACTCAGCAAATCATGCTGCGTTTAATCAGTGAGGTTGCCTTAACAGAGAACTGGGCTGGTGTCTAGGCCTGACAGGAAGACAGCCACCACACTGCTGCTACCAAGCAGACACACACATAAAAACAAAAACACACACACACAACTATCCTTCCTTCCCTGTGTGGCAATTTAAATTTCCCTATATATAGCAAATACTTGATCAGGACCAGGTGCGCCAAGTATGTTTATGTCTAGTCTCTTGAGTCCACGAGCATGGGGGGGGGTTTCCTAAAAGTGGGTGGGGCCCATTAACAGTAGCAAAAAGAATCTTAAAAGCAGCTGGGCAGTTGATATCCAAGATATATTAACCAGCATGTGCTGTATCAACTTGATACATAAACTGAATGAATCCACCTACATGAGACAACCAATCTGGTTTCCTTAAGCACCACTGCCACCTACTGACAACTTTGAGATTTCTTTTAATGGAACCACTGACATATCATAAGTTGAGACATTTAAGCATATTTAAGGTCATGAAAGCTCATGTGTGAGTTACACACTAGTCAAAAAATTACAGGAACACTTGATCATCACAGTATGACATCAAGTATGTTAAGCCTCAGGGATATCAATCTGTCCATTTAGGAAGCACAAGTGATTGTGAATCTGTTTCATCTGCTTTGGTGCAAATGAAAGTGAGGGGGCAAAAGCAAGACTACCCCCAAAAAGAGACTGGTTTTGCATGTGATGGCCACACACAAATGCTCCCTCTTTATCCTTCTTGACTGATTCTTCTCAAGTTTTGTGTTTTGCTAGTGTCCTTGTCACTACTGGTAGCATGAGGCAGTACCTACAGTCCAGTTACTCTAAGATGGCACATCCAGATGTGTAGCCACAAGAAGGTTTGCTCTGTCTCAAGAGCTTTGAGGAGACTGGCTGTTACACCAGGAGAGCTGGACAGGGCCATAAAAGGGCGACAAGTCAGCAGCAGGACTGGTATCTGCTCAGTTGTGCTAAGAAGGAACAGGAGGAGCACCGTGTATCGGCCCATCCAACGCCAAGTACCACCACTGACTGTCCAGGAGCTCACTGATGCCCTGATCCAGGTCTGGGAGGAGATCCCCCAGGACACCATCAGCCATCAACCATCAGGAAGAGCATGAGCAGACGTTGTCAGGAATGCATACAGGCACGTGGGGTCCATAGACACTTCTGAGTCATATTATGAGTTGCCGTGATAAAATTCATGCTACTTGGAAGAGCCTGTGATTTCAATTTTTCACTTTGATTTTCAGTGTGATTTTGAATCCAGCCCTCCATGGGTTGATGATTTTGCTTTCCACTGACAGTTGCTATGTCATAATGTTCTGAACAAATTATACATTGTAAGGATTTTCAGCTTGAATAATTTGTTCATCAAGATCCAATGTGCAATTTAAGTATTCCCTTAAATTTTTTGAGCTGTGTACTAGGGTCTAGGTTTGGCTGACTGCCATGTGATCAAAATCACACATATGATTCCTAAAACAACCAATGGGACAAGTTGAAACAAAGACAACCCTCCCTCCTCACTCAGTTTAATTTGGGCCTTCAAGTGTACATAAGTGTAAGTATTTGTGTGTCTTACTGAGATCCTCGGCCAGCTGAACTCGGCGGCCAGTGATGAGCTGGGTCTTTTTCTCCATGTCTTCCCCGAAGTCATCCAGAACCTCCTTCACGTTTTTCTCCAACCGGCGCACTGAGAAGACAAATGGAGGAATAAACAGACACCAAAGCATAAAAATAATTATCTAATCCATGAACAGTACAATAGATTTGTCTTTACTGAATGGTTATCAATGACCTGGCTATAGATCTTGGGTAAATTATATAAGAAAACTCAGGCCAGCTGGGACAGTTGCCCAGCTGGCCCAGTCAATCATATCTGAGCCACACTGAGCTCTTGGTTTGGTCTTGCTGCTCATGGTGATCATTATACTTTGAAAGAGAAAAAAAATGCAGTGATCACTGAACTCGGTGATTAATCTTACACCTAAATGAAAATAAAACGGATACTGCGAAAGAATGAACTAAGATTTCCAGCGATAACCTGTCAGCATTATAGAGCAGCTCACAAAACAATTACCAGTACGAAACATAAAAACCCAACTAAATGAGACTAATGAATTGGTAAAAGTATCTGAAGCCACTCCTTTTCATGTAAACAGTGGAGCCCTCCTTTTAAATCTGTGTTCCACCACAATTAAGTCGCCAATCCTTACCCTCAGTGTTGGTGAGCTGCTGTCGGAGAGTGTTGGCTGTGATGCCCAGCATCCTCTGGATCCTCCAGAACAGTACCACATCACTGCACTCCAACTGGGAAAAACATGCAGGCCCACAATTCAACTTTGGCATTTGACACAGATGTGAGAAAAGTGGAAAAGAAAAACAACTTGGGAAAACTCTTTCTCTCTTCATACCTCAGAGTCAACAAAGTGTCTCTGGTAATAGTAAAAACCTCTCTTGCAGAGGTTACAATGGGTCAGTGCCTTCTGCAAGAAGTGTCGGCGATACAGCTGATGCCACGTGTCCTTGATCTGTCCAGGAAAAGAAGTCAGTAGTCTGGGTGTTAATGGGTGGTAAACATAATAAAAAGGGTCACTGACACACAAACTTAATTACTGCTGCAGATATGAAGAATTTAAATGAAAAGAACTAACTACAACAGAATGTATTAGAATAAACATTCAATTTTTCACTATTACAAGTCATTATAATGCTAAATTATTTTTCTAATCATCTAACTTTGATCTCACCAGAATAGGGTCAACCTCGACCGTTCGTCCCTCCAGGTTCTTCCTCACTGTGGTGACTTCATCATTGGCTAAGTATGCTGTGTGGTCATCGTGCAGCTTTAGCAAACGATCCAGCTCGTTTTTTGTTTCATTACGAATGTGCTGAAAAGGCCAAAGTAAAGGAAGTGAGCACTCTGTTTAGGGTGGCCAACGGGTATATTGATGAAGAAAATTATAAGTGATAGGTAGATAACTGTGTGCTTCTATCAAGTCCTAAGATGGACTGCTAAAACAACAGCATAGTTATCCCCAGACATCAAGCTCTGACCTGATCTGGTGTGCGACTCCTCCAGTGCAGCCACCTTTCCTTCCAGTCTGGACCCACCATGTCTCTGATTACTGACTCAGCTACAAGGAGAAAAGTGAAAGACAAAAGATCAGAAAGAATGAGACAGAGGCATCACACCCTTCACTGTAATAGCCCCTTCCATATGAAGTATTTAACACAACCATGAGATAATGTATCATGAGTTTCTGAGGAGCTGTAAAAACTATTTGAAAAATAGAGCCTTTAACAGTGACAGTGTAGCAGACAAACATACAAGATAATAAAGGAATGACCACTTCTGGACAGCTGTAACTCTTCTTAATTTGTGTGTCTTTACCCCCAAATGTGGCAGACACAATTATGTATTAAACCATGCTGGACATTTGAACAGAGATGTTTAACCCTGACACCTGAAGACATACTAGAATTTGTTCTCTAATTTAAACTACTTGTTCCAAATACATTTGGATTCTGACCTTACATCCAGAGGTAGAGAAAATATAAATAATGCAAACACCTACTGTATATTTTTAAAAGCACTGCCATTAATTTCCTGGAACCACGTAAATGTTGTCATTTTTCAACATATATACACAGATGTATAAAACATTTTGCCACATAAGTTATCACATGGTTAACTGAGAGAGGGGAGTCTAGTACTGGGTATGAAGTTATAAGGCCATCATGGTTAACGTACTATCTTTGAGGCGTGACTGCAAGGTTTCTTCCATGAACTGGATTGCTGCATCCCACTGGGGCTTGTCTGTGATGGAACGGTCTTCAAGGGCATTGTGCTGGATTACCCTCTGACAAACATAAACAAAAAGAAAGAAGAATGTCATCTTAATAACTGAGCTGCAATGTAATGCCTATGCATAATATGTGTAGCAGATAACTTTGAGCTTAAGTGGGTCAGCAAGACCAGGTTCTCTATAATGATGACTAAATTGCTTTTGGGAAAGAATGGATAATTCAACTTGTGTAAATCAACTGCCTCCTCGCAGCCAGATTGAGTGGGGTTGCTGAGTATTTACCAGGCTGTCCATCGCCCTTTCGTTCCACTTGTGCCTCTTAATGCTCTCGTCCTTCACAGCCTCCTTCAGCTTGTCAAAAATGTCGTCCTGGTCTTTGCCTCTGTACTCAGCTATGAAGCGGGCAAACTCCTCCTGCAGCGTCTCCCAGGCAACCTGATGAGGAGCAAAGTGTATTGGGGAAAGACAAGAGTCACATAACAATGACATCATTGCCTGGTGGAACATCTACTTAGCACTGCTAAGCCACAGAATTGGAATCTTAGCAAAACACCAAATTATTCAGTGACAATTCAGATCTTGATAATAGCATTCTCTGTATCTGAAACCTGTATCACTGCACCATCACCACCCTGCAGCCAGCAGTACATCCTGTGAGTCTCACCTATCTGTTTACCTGTCTCTTACCTGTCAGTCTGTTTACCTGTCAAATAGACTTGGAAGTTTTTAGCCATGATTTCAGATATTTATTCTCAGTAACTGACTTGAATACCTCCGGGTTATATTTATTCTCAGTAACTGACTTGAATAGTGTTGGTCCTGACTTGGCTCACTGTGGTTCGTTGTCCCCCTCAGTGTGGTTCACTTTAGCAGGTGTGAACATGGTAATTACATTCAGGTGTGGACCAAAACAACAGCACCTAGGCCCTTTGTGTTGCAGAGAAAAATAGTTTGATAGGACTACTCACCGGTAGAGAACACAGATCTTCTTCTTGTGTTTACTTTCTTGTTCCCGCCACAGAGTCCTTTAACCAGTGAGCGAAGGCAATGTTCTCACGTGATTTGTAGTGACGCATTTTGGTTCACTTGGATTTTTCTCTGCGTGAAAGGAAACTGAACCAAGAAGAAAACAGGCCAAGTTTACAAACTAGTCCACTGATTCAGACTAGTACAAATGCACTACAGGTGTGAAAACACCCTTAGTCTCTTTACTGGTCTGGTTTAGGACTTGACCTGGAACCTTTTAGTTATGACATGGAATCATTTGGTTTTTACTTGGGAACTGACTTGCAACTTGATTGATTCAGGTTGTCTCTATTTGAGACAAGACTTTACTGAACTGGTGTTCCGTCTGGAACTGTTTGGTCTTGACGTGACAGTAAACTCAAGACTTGTCGGTCCTGAATTGGGCCTTGATTAGGGACTGTTTGGTCTACATCTTACTCTTGACTTGAAACCTGCTGGACGTGATTTTGGATTTGACTGAGCTGTCCGAGGGGACAACAACAACAGCACTAATTTTTTATTGTCATGGTGACATTGAACAGTCTAGTGTATTATCTGCCAACTCTTCCAGTTTTTCACAGCTTGTATCTGAATGTTATGGTGGACTGTGTAAAGGGAAGACTCCACAGCAGCAGGTTGTTGTTCACGAGTCACACATGAGACATTCAGACTTCAGACCATCAGACTTTTTGAGCATCTTCTTTTAATAGTTAATGTCTGTAAATGTTGAACCTTTCCTTTAAACCTTCATTCTACCATTTTAAGCCCCAGTGGCACTGGAGTTCTACTGGTAGAGCAGGAGTGGTGGTTTTATCACCTGCTCACCTCAGAACCTTTTCTAAAGCCACAAACCCACAGAGTAGTAGTAGTCGTCCTCATAGTTGTAGTAGTAGTAGTAGTAGTCTTGGAACAGCAGTCTGTCCTGGTGAATCCGTTTCTGTTTGACCTCTCTGTGTGCTGCATTAATGCATCTTATATGATCCACCCTTCTTCTTCTCTTTCATTTTTTGAGCCACTGCCTGGACCTGAGGCTTTAAAATGTGTTTGTAACCCACTTTTGTCCACACTCTGCTCCACAACCTCTGCTCTCTCTACTGTGGCTGAGCAAAAGAACAGAAGTCACTCTGACTCTACTTCATGTCTCTGGTTTCTGCATGTCACATGTGTCCACTGTTGCGCTGTAGTTTACTTTGACGTGGTCCCACAAACACCATCCTGCTGCCACTATTACTCACTGGAGGCCAAATGTGGATTCATT